AACCAGGTCAGTGAGCTCCCACGACCCAGACTATGCTTCCAAGCAGGATAACCCTGCCTCACCTCTATATAACTGCAAGCCCAAGGTCAACCCCAACATTTCGGAGATACACCAAGACTCCTTCAACAGCACCTTCCAAACCCACAAAATCTTGAAGGTCAAGGGCAGCAGATACATGGGAACACTGCCACCTGCAAGTTCCCCTCCAAGCCACTCACCATTCTGATTTGGAAATATCTCACTATCCCTTCAGCATCACTGGGTCAAAGTTCTGGAGCTGTCTAGGACTGAAATAAGGAAATATTTCTTCACACAAAAATATAAAAGTGAACCTGTGGAATTTGCCAGTCAAGCCACTGAGTGTATTCAAGAAGAGAGATTGATGCCTTTAATATCTAAAAAAATTACCAGAGCATGAGGAAGCAGGAATGTGGCACTGAGACAGAGGAGCAGCTATGAGCATACTGAATAGTAGATCAGGTTCGTAGGGCTGAATGGCCTACTTAATTTCTACGTAACTAGAGCTGTACAAGAAATAGAGGCCCAGCATTTAATACCCACATCCCCTGGATAAACAACAAAAAAAAAAAAAAATTCATTCGAGCCATGACAAATCAGAGCACAATACATTTTATTAAAATAGGTACAGGACAGTGTGTAACATCTGTAAAGTGCAATTGATGCAAACTGCAGAATCTGGTACAACCCTCTCTTTGAAGCCAGGCAGTTTACCAAACAGTTGCTGAATGTTTTGTTCAATCCCTTGTTGGGGATTATACATAAAAAAAATAAAGTTCCTGCATTGATTTTTAATACCAAACTTCCTTTGAGCTTCTCATGAAACCAAATAAATTGTATCACACTGTGATTAAGTGCAAGACAAACACAACCTGAGCCTGCACCCTGATGACAATCTTTTAGAACATGGAGCAAAAGGTGTCTTGTATATTGAAATGCTAGGCACAAGCTTTCAAACAAAAAAACTTCCATTTCATTCAACAAATTCCAGCCAATATTTTTTTCACTTTTCATACCTGAATATTTGAGATGCAGGTACATTTCAAAGTCAGTTTCAAGGTTAGTATCAGAATAGAATACAATGTTGGTACAGTACTAGGCACAGTAATTTCCAACTTCAATTGAATGACCATCACTCACTTCTTAAATGAACTTTCTGCATGAAAGTTTTTTGACTGATAAAGGAGCAGGACAGTGGTCCCAAGAACCTCCGCTGCTTTCCAGTTATTGCCGCCCAGGAAGGCATCCCCTCAAACGGTCATTGACTGTCGAACAGCCACATGAACTCAGCGGTTTTCTCTACCAAGCTGCAAAACAAACACTTAGTGCACTAAGTAAATGACTGCCAAAGAAAGCAACCCCCTCCCACCACAAACTACACGTCAATAATATTTAACATTCACCGATAGGTGATACAATGCTCTAACAGCTAGACCATGTTGCATAGCCAAGTATTCAAAACTGAAATGTACGTTTTTAAAATCACAAAGCAATGGCTACTCTTCAAATTCTAAGTCATAAAATATCTAACTGGTTGTGAAGTAACTAAGGATATCTCGACAGAAAGTAAGCAAATACAAATATGGATTGCATAAACAGCTTGTACTCCAATTGGTTTTAAAAGCTTATGGAGTGATCCAATTGAAGGATTTAAAATATAAACAGGAATCAATAGAGTTAATACAGAGAAACTATTTCTGTTAGTGCAAGGTATACAGAACACTGAGCAAATACTAAAGTTAGGGTCAGACGGTTCAGAGAGGACGTCAGGAGTCAATTCTTCACAACATTGGTTAGTGAAAATCTGAGCAGGTGAGCAGTCATTCAAAACTAAGTTAAAGGGATAGACTTTTAGTCATTTGGTAGTACAGAATTTTATTGCTGAAAAAAAACTGACATTTTGTTCATTTTTTTTGTCTTGCACTCATCAGGAAAATTTGCAAGAATAAAGATTTAAGGGGAAAACTAACATTTATAGTGCATGAGAAGACGGTGCTGATGAGTTGGTAAATGGACTCTGACTAGTAGGAGGTGCTGCCTTGGAGAATGCACTAATTAATAATGATTGGCAGTAAACTTCCTGGCTTTAACCAAGTAGGTTGAGAAGTATACCATCAAATGGCTTTCAACTATTTAGTTCAAGGTTTTCCCTTTGAATTACAAATTGTCCCAATAGATGCATAACAAAAACCTTCAACAAGACAAGTCTCTTTTCAGCAGCGTTCGGGATAGACTTCTGTTGGGTCTGTGGAACTGAGATTGAGAATGCCACTGGTGGAAAGAAACTAGACTTTTGTTTGGGGATGTGGGGGGACGGGGGTGGAGGTTACAAATCTCAGGATAAAGGGACAATTATTTGGAACTGAGATAAGAATTTAAGGAAAAATTGAGAATTTCACTTAACAGCTTTAATTATTGGAATCTTCCACCTTAGGAGGTCCATGGATGATCCATCATTGAGCATACTTTAAGGCTAGGATAGAGAATTTGGATATCTCGGGGGGGAAAAAAGAGTCAATACAGGGAGTGAGCAGGAAAATAGAGTTGAAGCCCAAAATCAGTTTCAGTAAGTTGTTTGATGGAGCAGGCTTCAAAGACTGAACCATTTACTTGTGCTTCCACTTGTGTCCTAGTGTACAAAGGCATATTAAGTAAACGTGGGTACAAGGACTGAGATACTGATGAGCTATGACCCAAGACTTACAGAGCAGAGTCAAGGAGCACAATGGCCTCATGCTGCACCTTGGTCAAAGGGAAACCTCATCTCACTATTGTAACACAAAACTAAGGCATCAGAGCCTTTTACACAATTCAGGAACATATTGCAAGCACCATGATTATTTTACCAGTCATGTGACTGTATACTTTACTTTCACCACACTGCCTTGAAAGAGTGGGGCAGGAGGTGTATTTTATTTACATACTTATGAACAGATCAAATTCCCATGACGAAGTGTCAATCCAGATCGATTTTATGTAGGGATGGCAGGACATTTAACTGGAGAAATTTAACCAGACCTCGTAACTACAAGCTGGTTTGGCAGTTGACGATAATCCTGCCCAAACGCAAAAGAAGCCATGGATAAACTAAATAGTGATCAGCAGAGCAACTGCTTCCCCCTCAAATTGCTAAAGCTGGCCCAACTCCTCACTCCAAAGTTCGTTCAGGAACTGAAGACCCCACAGCAGCCATTCCTCCAACTCACCCCATTTCCCAAGTAATAGATCGGCCAATTAGCAAGTTGCTCAGCATTGTAAGTGCTGTATAAATTCAAGTTAACAAACAAGTTACAAGAATCCATTCTCCTATGACTCTTTTAGGTGCTTGTGCATGACAAATTTTCAAACATTACACTGGGGTAATCATCTGTTTTTGTCTATTTCACATGAAATTGCAAGTGATATAGTACTGGGATCTGAATGACAGTAACATGGCATGGTAGCTGGTTTGGCCATGGGACTGGCGTCCATTGCCTGCCCATTGCTTCACTCAACTTCAGCCATGTTGAGCGGAGGACCAGAGAATTTAAACATCTAACACCACGAATTGAAAATCTCTTTGGACTTATTGTGGAACTTCTAACATGAAATCATAAACAATGAAAGGAAGTGAGTGACAGACAATATCCAATTGGACACTCCACACTTGATCCAACTTCCTTGACAGCCAAAAAAAGGTAACACCAAGACAGTGGGTGAAGGTGTAAACTTCGTACAACATCTATTTCACCTCCAGTGCGTTCCAGATACTGGAGTTGAGCTTTTTTTTTTAAAAAACAATTAGTTAACTAACTTCAATCCCAGTTTACAACAGCAAGACTCAACAGCCTTCACCTCACTTGAGCCAACTCCCTTATTGGGTTGTTAGGAGAGCATTGTTACACTTTCTGTAGAGTTAATGTCTTTAATTACAAATAAACACAATTATAAATACAATTGCAAGATATAAAGTGCCTTCCCATTTCTTCCCACTCTTCCCCCCCCCCACCATTAAGATCAGTAAAGCATACTGGTCAGCCTGCCAGTAACAGGCATTTCACCTAATTAAGCACTCAAAATACAAGTGCTGTTGTAGTGTCATATATGCAAACAGAAAATTCAGCCTTAATCTCAGTAAGTTCACCAGAACACAGCAATGATAAAACCTACAATAGAACTGTTGCTTCAACCTTGAGAATTTTAAATACAGTATTCAGCAGGATTGTCAGAATGATTGGCTAAATGTTCACTGGACTGAAACTTTGAACCCACATAGCATCAAGTTGACAATCTTACATCTGCAATTTGATTTCTGCTGTAAACCAAGCAGGAATGCAAACCCTCACCTTGGTGCCGTATTGGAGGAACTAACATACTCAAGCTCACTAAAAATATTGAAGCTGATCCACCTGTTATGCAACTTAAAGATACAGTAATACAGTATTTGCGTATTGCTAAAAGGGACACTTATGATGAAGCTTTTCATTTTGCACTCACTGCAATTTGCAAGAAATACCAAAATAAAGAAAACATTTATACGATAGAAGAGGAGGAGAGTGTGCTGAATGGTTGATAAATGGACTCAAGTAGAGGTGCTGCCATGACAAATACACCAGTTAATAATGACTGGCAGTTAACTGCCAAACTTTTTTCACTTAGAATTTAACCAAAGCAGATGATTTTAATTAGTCCAAGACAGTGCCCCTAAAAAAAAAGTGGAACAAATGACTGGTGTGTATTTTGTTGAATTGAAACAGGACAGTTCCTCGACCAAACACCCCTGACCCCCACACTGGTACAAATGCTGGTTTCCCTTTAATTTTCTTTTGTATTTATGGTGAATTGCCCTGATAACTGTAAGATGAAAAGCTTCATGAAAGTGTTGTATCAGCAATTCTTAAACATTTTTAAAAAGTCAGTGTTTTCTCCCCCCACCAGTGATATTTTAAACACCCATCATGTCAATGAAACAGATAAAACTGAATTAAATACACATTGTTATAACCTTAATGATCAGGAAATGAAGCCATTTCAGGAGGCAACTCAATAGTTTGGATTGGTCAAAATATCATAGCTACATTCAGAAGTCCATCCAACAATTAGAGAAAGTTCGACCAGGAAAACTAGTCACGGCCACAAAACAAAAATAACCTTCAGCAGAGAAACAGTGGACAAGATGCACAAACTTACGTTCATGAATTGTACTCATTCAGTAATTGATCTACTTTTTTCATTAGCCACTGGTTCCTGAAAGCCCTCTATTCCATTAGCCTCTGCCATCTTGTTCAGGTGAGCCTTCCATCTCGCATTTCAACCTCCCAGGTTGAGGAGTCTTCAAAGGCATCCTGACCTCAATCCCAACATCCGTGGGGGGAGTACTCGACGAAGACCAATTGTGAGCAATGCTGGGATTCACTTAAATACATATTATCCCACAATCTTGTAGGTGGATTGAGCCTAATTAATCAAGTACAGTGAACCTTGCGTGCAATGGGAATTGATGTGAATCACTGTTCAAACAGTCAAGTCCAGCTTGATTCGGGATTATTTTGCCACAGATAGCAATGGGACCTAAGCTTAAAATACTGTTTGATGGGGAATTAGATAAGGACTTGGACAAGTGTGAAAACACGTGGGGGAAAGAGTTGGAAAATGGATTGCTACAGATGAAGAGCCGATCCTTCTCTGCATTGGAATTTCAGCTGTGACCTCAAGATAAACCACGACAAATAGAAACAAGATGTCTGACTCAAAATTGAGGGCGAGTGGTGAGCTAAGGACTCTGCTGAGCTTGTCACACAGCCTGCCAATGAGGATCAGAACAAAGCAAGTTGGGAATTTTACATAACGTCAGTTGATTATATTCAGTCAGTATCTCCCGCCTCTCCAAGTTGAGGAGAGGTCAGAGAATTGGAAAATCGGAGCAGCTAAGGCCAAACAGAGAACTGCAACTGGTTTTCATTATAAATACAAAACTGAATGAGCAAATTACATAATCAAAAATAAGATGGAACAGTCAACAGGGCAGTGGAAACATGGGAGGAAATCCTAGACATAAGAAACAAAGGTTCATGCTCCACTGACTGGACAACATTGTGACTACAGCAGATCTTAACAACTGTTTGACATTCACTTCAACACAAACAGAGTTCATACTTACAAAAGCAGCACCAACCCCACCAAGAAACTCTTTTTTTATTATTATTGCTTATGTGCGTCACTTCTGCTCATGGTAAAGTCAACACTTTCACTTCAGCATTTCGCAGCCAGGTTCCTTAAAGGAGCTGGTGAGGCCACCAACAGGCTCTTCTTGTTTGACTGAGGCTGTTTCCCCAGACAGGATTCACCCTTCACCACCTTCAGCGTGGGTTTGGCTGCAGGAGACTGTATGCGAGGAGACTGCGGGCTCATCACTTTAGACTGTGGTAGTTTGACAACAGCTAATGGAGTCCGTTGGGCAGGGGCAGGATTGTGAAGTGGCTTCTTACTGTTTGACGAAGGGGTCTTCGCTGATGCCTTCTGATTCTTCTCAACGCGAGTGTCATCCCTGGTCGCACTAACCGCATTCCTTGGTGCAAAGTCCAGTGTGCGGGGAATCGGCGTGGAGCTCGGGACAGGGCCTCTTGCTGGTGTGAGCGGCCTCTTGGAGGCAGACGACGATGCAAGGTTGGTGGGCTGGGTGCGTTTCCCCGGGGTCTGCAGAGAGCTAGGCACCACTGGTGTGGAGAGAAACAGAACAGACTTGACGGGAACCCCAGGGGTCAACTTGGGGCTGGTGTCAGGATTTGGCAGGCATTTACCTGGAGGTCTTTGAAGGAGGCCACCGGGAGCCTTTGAAGGGGTTCGGCGAAGTTTGGAAGAGGGCTGTGCCTCCTTGCTCCCTGGTTGGGTCATGCCTTTGGGTTGACTAGCTGGGGATTGCTGTGGCCGAGGGGGCAACTGTGATCTCGCTGCAGGACACTTGATGCCTCTGGAGGATGAGCTTGGCGCCACGTGGGATGAATGCCCACTTTCAGCAGATGGTGGGCGGGACCCCGATTTAGATGGTGGCACTGGTGAGGGGCACCTGCAGTGGGCACTGGCAGCTTTGGTCATGGGCCAAGACGGCACGCAGGGAGATCCAGGGCATGTAGCTAGGGGTTGTGACATCTTGATACCAAGCGGAAGGCTCATGGTTGGAGGCGGTTTGGGAGATTTTGCCAGCAAGTTAGATGTGTGAGCGGAATCCTGAGAGATGCCCTTCTCGAAAGCCATGATCTTCTCCTCCAACATGGTGAATTGCAGCACCCGGCAGGGGTCATGCTTCAGAAGAAAGCCCTGCAGAGTGTCCCAGCCTCCTCCCACACGCACCATGACGTGTTTACCATGTAACATCTGCAAATAAACATTCACACAAGAACAAAATAAGTTAATACTGGGCAATATCAAATTCTGCACATCTTTGCAAGTGGCCTCGTGCTCCACCCAGCACTGGCCATTAATAAAACCAGCATACAAAAATAGATAGTATTGCCCAAATAGTTACCAAATCTTAATTGTTAAGTACAGGGAATGCCATCTTAGGAGCAACACCAGAATTCTGCAGACCCTGCAGTCTGGAATTATTCGAGGAAAGAAAGCGGATAGTCACAAATTAAGAAAATGGAAGTTTCAATCAGCAAAGGATTCTGGTCAATCAACTTAGTTTTCATTGCCCTGCAAAACCTTTGAGAGATGGTGAACAATGAGCAACTGTTCTAACTCGTTACCAAATGAGAGGGTACAGACTATTATCAGCTGAAGAACAAAGGGTGAACTCAGGCTGAGTTTGAGACAGAGGGTGATTAGAACATGGAACCACAAGGAGCCATTGAGGCAGAAGCTCCAACAACATTTTAAAAGGGAATTAGCTAAGTGTTGAGAGATAGAAGGATAAGAAAGAAAGGAGGGCAGGGAAATTAGAATAAAGCGGATAATAGTCAGTTAAAGAGCTAGCTCCAGCAAAGAAACAATTAGAATTTACCTTCTTCTGCGCTCTAACATTCTAAGATGTACACCTAGTAAGGGTACAGTCCACAGACAAGACACACAAGATTTCAAGTTTGGGGTTCTGAAGAACAGCACTAATGGATTTGAAACATGAACATTGTTGTGCCTTCCACAGATGCTGAGAGACATGCTGAATTTCTCCAGAACTTGAAGTTTTATTTTAAATTTAGCTACTTAGTCCAAGGTAATCCCCACTTGCTTTGCAGAATGGAACGCATGCTTTACCATCGTGGATCCATTTGAGGAGCGGCCTTGTCCTTGGCGGAGATCTACTGCCTCGCAAAACAGGAGGTGACAGCGAGTCAGCCCCTTGAACCTATTCTATCATTCAACTGGATCACTGCTGCTGTCCAACTCAACTCCAAAGTTTCTGCCTGGCTCTCTGCCTTAGTCCGCACAAAAAAAATTCTCAATCTGAGCGAAAGCTATAACTGACCTCCTGCAGCAACAACCTGCAATTGCAGAGACTTCCAGAGTCCTGTTGGTGTCAAACACAGTCGCAGCCAGAGGTCATGCCCAAACAGCTTGTGCTAATTCTGAACTAATGTCAACTTTGTACCCAGATCAGCCACGATGGTGGAATGGCTCCTCTGGTTCGGATCTCAAGTCCCATTGGGCATGTTGTGTACACTGCAGGCCTCTTCCACCAGTTACTCCCAAATACCTCCAAGTAGGGCCTCTCTCTCTCTGCTGTTGCTAGGCTACACTTGTTTTTCCATCTGTCTGCTTCACAAGAACATAAAAAGCAGGTACAGAAAAATAACAAACCCCTCCAACTATTTTATCAGACAGACTCGGCAATGTTCCAAGTAGAACTTGTTTTTAAATCTCCGAGAAGCAGAAATCACAAACACTATGCTGCAGACAAAGAAACCTGCATCTGGCCGTGAAGGAGTCCAAGGCATTAGACAGCATTCTGGTCAACATACCTCTCTGAACTAACACTCCAGAAAACAATTAATAAGTGATTGACTACATTGCTATTTATAATACCTACATTAGGACATTGTTGAGTGTAAAGTGATTGCAATACTCAGCCACATTTGCAAGTCATTCACCACAGGTTGTAACTCAGATAACCAGCTGGTGAGGAATAATACTGGAGCCAATTTCAATTTAGCATTATAACACTTCACTCTAAATAAATGTAAGCATAAGCTAACTGCCTAACTTAGACACACTACGATTTCAATAAGTATCTTTCCATTCCTATCGGAAATTCCAAATGCCCAATGCCCAGCATCTGATTGCAATTAGTCGTACACCAGTTTTGTTTAACATTTAATTTGGCAAATTTCCTTCCCTAAAGAAGGGTGAACCAAATGGATTGTGTCAATCAATTAATAAATTAAATGGTCATCATTTTTCAATACTAGACTAGACTAGACTAGCTTTCAATTCTAGATTTCTATGAATTAATTCAATTTAAATTCCACTAGATATGATGCAACTAACGATTAGAAACATGAAAGGATCTCACACATTTTTTATTTCAGTTCGACATTTCTGCACATTGTGATCCAATACTCACTCTGATAAAAAGAATCTTCCCTCCCAGCCGATAACGCCCTTCAGATAAGAACTCAATGGAGAAACGATGTGAACATTTGCATGGAGGATCATCAGCAATTGTCTTCACCTGGAAGGAAGCTAACTGGTCAGCTGACAATGATCCAATGAAATGTGCAACATATTGCAGTAAGGAACTTAAAAGGATGAACAATTATGTTGATATTTACAGAGTACATTAGCATAGTGTTTTCTTTATTAGCTAATAATTCAGAGACCTGCAAATGACCACTTAAACTTGAGCTCAATCCATCACAGCAACCAGAGCTTATTTTATTAAGCGAGTTGCCATGATTTGGATCTCTGTCTAAAAGAGGGCGTTGGAAGCAGATTCATTAATAAATTTCAAAAGGAATAAAGGAATAAAAGTAAGCCGGATAAATACTTCAAAAAAAAAAAAAAAAAAGGGAAAACTTGCTGGGTCACCAGCTGAAAGTAGGGAAGTGGGATTAACTGGAGAATTCTTTCAAAGAGCTAATACAAAAATGATAGGCCAAACAGTCTCATCTGCACCGCGATGATGCAATCAATTAAGACCAACACAGACATAACAAGGCAAGCACAATTGCTGGAAAGCTTTGGGAACGACACACGTGAAATTACCTTTCACTTCTAGGCATGCTAACTTTCCACATTGTATCGGTCAAGAGACGCTAACATAATCAGGAGGAGAAAGTCTGCTTGGAGCGGCTGTTTTTAAGGAAGTAAATGAATTTAGTCAATTATCTGAACTTCAAAAAAAAAACTTCATTCTGTACTCGCAACTTTAGAATTAGATTCTCAAAATTTTTTACAGTGCAGAGGGAGCTATTGTGTCTGTGCTGGCTCTCCAAATGAGAGCTTTACTTAGTGTCACTCCTTTGTCATATAGCCCTGCACATCCTCACTCCAGATAAGACTGCAATTCCCTTTTGAAAGCCTCAATTGAACCTGCCTCTGCAACACTCTCAGGCAGTGCATTCCAGATCCTAATCACTCACTGTGTGAAGAAATGTTCAATTTGCCATTGCTTGTTCTGGCAATTAAATCCGTCCACCCCTTTGTTTGCATTTCTTCCACCAGTGGGATCACTTTCTCTCTCTCTACTCGGTTCAGAATCATGATTTTGAGCATCTCTATCACATAGCTTTTCAACCTTTCCCTCTCCAAGGAAAGTAGTTGCAAATTCTCCAATCTATCCACATCACTCAAGATCCCCATCACGGGAACCATCCTTGTGAATCTTTTCTGCACCCTCTTTAATGCCTCTACCTCCTCCTTAAAAAGTGAGGTACACACAACATAATGCAAGAACAAAGTTTTGTACATGTTTGTAAATCCAATTTTATTTAAAATAACCAGACAGACAGTCAGGAGATATTAAGATCAACTTACTGCATGGTGAAGCTCTTTGTTGTGACAACATGGCTTTGTACTTTCAACAGGAATCTGCTGTTCAACAGAGGTGGTCAACAGAGTTTCCTCAAGTTCAATTTCCTTTTCCAGTTTTACTAACACAGGAGGCTCCACACCATACCTGCAATTTCAAATTAAAGCCAATATAAACCAGCAGTCCAAGACAGTAAAAACTCAACCGAAAAAGATTTGAAACACTGCACAAAATTGGCTCCGGAGATCAAACCGTACAGAATCTACAGCCAAAAAACAAAAAACAGACCATTCGGCTTAATTGTTCTTTGTCAGCCTTCTGCTGGACACAATCTTCCTTCCAAATCCCATTATCGCACCCCAGCAGCCGATCTTTCTGTTCCTGTTGGCTCATGCATTTATCTGGTTTCCTCTTACGCATACACCCTACTTGTCTTAACTGCACCTTTTGGTTGTGGTAGCAAGCATCCAATATTCTCTCAAATTTAAAATGGACTTCAATTAATACTTGCACTCCTGCATCAAGGTTAGGGTTAGCCACTCGCCGAGCCAAGCCATTCTGGGACAACTAGATTGGCATCTACAGTGTGGAAGATTGCCCAGGGTTGTCCTGTACACGTAAAGCAGGACAAATCCAACCCTGCCAATTACTCTCAATCATCAGTAAAGTGATGGAAGGTGTCATCCTCTGATCAAGCAGCACTTGCTCAGTAATAACTTGCTGAGTAGCAGTTTGGGTTCCACTGGCACCGCTCAACTCCTGACCTCAGAGCCATCGTTCAAACATGGGCAAGAGAGGCAAGATTGACTGCCCTTCACATCAAGGCCTTGGATTGAGGTGGTATCAAGGAGCCCTAGCAAAAATGAAGTCAATGGGAATCAGGGGGCAACCTCCTACAGGTTGAAGTCATACCTGGCGCATATCTAGCTTGGACTGAAAAGTGGCAAGTAACATTTGTGACAGACAGATGCCAGATAACGACCATCTCCAACAAGACAATCTCTAACTCTCGTCCCTTGGCATACAATGGAATTATCACCATTGACTCTTTCTGCGCGACCCAGGACCCTCCTCCCCCCACCCCGCCCCTCAACCATCAACATCCTGGAGGTTATTACTGACCACAAACTAAACTGTCTGTAATAATCCTGCAGCGACAACAGATCAGAAACTAGGAATCCTGCCATGATTAACTCACCATCTGACTCCTGCCAAGCACTTACAAAGCACAAGTTGGGAGTATTGCCTGGATGCCTGCAAGTCCAACAGTATACATGAAGCTTGACACCATCCAAAACAAAGCAGCCTACTGGATTGGCACCACTTTCAAAAATATTCGCACGCCCCACCACTGACACTCAGCATATTTACAAGACACAGCGTGAAATTCAGAGACTCCCTCAACACTCTTACCAAACCTACTACCACTTCCATTTATGAGGACAAGGGCTGCAAATCCATGGCAACGTTATCACCACAGCAAGTTCCCCTTCAAGCTAGATGTGCTCCAAACAGTGTCACGAGGTTGAAATCTTGAACTCCCTCCCCAATAGCATTATGGTCTCCCTTTACAAGTGAACTGCAATGGTTCAAAAACAGTTCCTCCTGTCCTCAGCACGTTCTCATGGGCAAATAAGGATGAGCAATAAATGCTGGCCCAGCCAGTGATGCCCGCATCCCATGAATAAATAAAAAACATTAAAAAGTGTAAATAGGGAGTTCAAAAACACAACTGCAGACAGGTTTTTAAAAAAAACAAAAAATCTCATCCTTGTGCAGACTCACCCTCCCTCTAAGTTCCTTCTGCTCGACATTGCAAGAATGCTGCAGTCCTGCGCTCTAATCTCCGACACATGGCAATCACTCCACTGGAGTTCCAGAACTTGCCTCACAAGCCAGCCACCACTACTCCCCACCACCCACAACCAGAGCTCTCCCGTGGAAACTCCCTGTTGTCTCACCACACAACAAGCAGGCGCTACTTGTACAGGCTGCTACATCCCTAAACATTTTCACCTTTATCCACTCCTAGGCAGGCTGTGGTATTCTTTTAAGGCTCCCAGCGAGGTGCTTTCTACTCACACAGCCTTCCACTTTCCAAATCAGGGATCTGGGTTGCAGGGGGTTGCATGCAGGAATCTTGTGGAACTGCAGCCTCCAACTCTCTACAGACTCACAGGTGCCGTGGAGTCCACGGGATCTGTCTGTATTGTTTGTTGGAGACTGCATCCCCGTTTGGTTATTGAAGGGCCCTTTCATCCATCCTTTGGTTGCATTTCAGCCCTACATTCCTCATCTTGGGGCACCCGGTGTGGAGGAACACCTCCTGGGCCTGGCTAAAGTGGCCATTAAGTAGTATAAGTGCGGAGTGGTGGTAATTCCTGACTTCCCCTCTTTCTCAGGTATGCAAACATCTGGGTGTCCTTAGAGAAGGACACACATCAGACATCACGCTCAAAGACGTTAAAAGCTTCTGGGCATAGGTTGGGGGGGGTGCGGGGGCAGGGGAGCTGGTTGTGGGGTGTGAGTGGGTGGTGTGGTGCATTACGTTCCCCACTAATGACATGTTAATTTGATCCCCCAGTTTTTTTGTGGTTTCAGTGATGTAAAGACAGTTTTATTCTGAGGGTTCGATTTGGCTTTTCTTTTTGCCATGCAAGTCTCAGTGATGGTGACTGTAAAACCATCAACTGTCAGATTTGTGACAGTCCTTTCAAAGTGGCTATCTGCCATCCTTACCTGGACTGGCCTACTTGTGACTCAGACCCACAACAATGTGGTAGACTCTCAAGTGCCCTGAAATGGCTGAGCAAGTCAGCTCAGTTTAGGGGCAATTAGGGACAAATGCCTCATGCTATGTAAAAATGAAGAACAACATGCCATGGGATGTTACGCATTGCTGTATAAGCAGCTCTCATTAATACACTAAAAATATGACATTATGAATTACGTTGTTCATATTCATAATGTGAATTGCTTTTATAAACTTGTCACAATGTCATTACAACCATCCAGCTCTAAACGATGCAGCAACTTAACAGATGACACCTTTCACCTGTTTATACAGTCTTAGACAGGGTATTTTATATATTCGGAACATCCGATTTTAAAATGGGGTTTGTTCCAGTTCATTCCTTATCCCCCACCTCCCCAGCTTTCTCTTTACTGCGTGGCCTATTTGTTGCCCAATGTGGTCCTTTTACAATACCTGACCAGCCATGCATGCATTAATCTTTAAGGGAATGGTACTTGTGCATGACTCGCACAGTACCTTCTTGATTGTCACACAGAAAATGCACCATGGAGGGAACATAGATCCTTCCCCGGTGTGCAACCATAATGTTGAAGGTTGGAGTCACGTAACATGGCTGAAACTTAACCACCTTTGAAGTGTCCTAGAATACCCTCAGTCACACTGATTCTCTACCAGTGGGCAACAAAAGGGAATGCCAAATTCACCGGTGACACATATTCCATAAATAATTCAAGATGTTGAAGGCTACAATACTAATCTCCCTGTGAAACTCTCGAATGTCACTGGGGCTTAGTGAGTTAAATTAGGAGGACAAGATGCTGAGACATTCTCTCACGTGTAGAAGATTAAGTAGCTCTAGTGGAAAGGCAGGGGAGTGACACAAGGTGAATTATTCCTGCAGGAGGGCCAGTGTGAACTCAATGGACACCTCCTTCAGTTGTAACCATTCTACTCAAATCGAAAGGTTTATGACATTGAAGGGATTTAGTAAGGAAATAGAGATAAATTATTCCCTTTGGTGGAGGGAACAAGGAGGCAGAATCTTCAAAACAGAGCCAGGCTATCAAAGGGTAAATTTGGACAGCTTTGCACAAAGATCATTGGAAATCTGGAACTCACCCCAGTCTCTATCCACCCCTTCCCAAAATGTTCTGTGAACACAAGGACTGAATGGGATTCAAGCTCTCAACTCTTTTCCATCATTCAGTAAGATCCCAGCAGAATTCCTACTTCGATTACATGTTCCTGTTCAATCGTAGTATTTAAAGATTCCATTAAATATCCAGGAACTAACAGATTTCTAGCTCATGACCAGCAGTCAATTGAAAATTTTAAAAAGATCGATAAATTGTTATTCAAAGGTATAAAGAGGGGTGGAAAGGAGGCAGGTAAAAGGAGCTAAAACACAGATCAGTCATGACCTAATTGAATAGTGAGGTGCAAGCTATCAGCAAATAGATTTCCTGGTGAGTAAATAAACATACAACTCACCGAGACACGATTCGTCCAATTTCAAGTAGACACAGACACACCTGCCGGGGCTGTTTGTGCAGAACTGGAAAACAAGGCAAAGAAAGCAGAAAAGATTATTGCAAGAAGAAAAAAGAAATCCATTAAACATAGGGCTCACTTGAATGGTAGCATCTGCTCAGCAAGCTGCAACAACACTTGAGGAAGGATAGCCATATCTTAGAGGATGCAAAAGGAGATTTACTGGAATTTTATTTTTAATTTGTTCGTGTGACGTGGGTGTCACTGGCTAGGCCAGTATTAAGTGGGCATCCCCAACTGCCCTGGAGAAGATAACAGAGAGCTGTCTTCTTGAATCTCTGTGGTCCTTGCTCAAGAGTGACATTCCAAATGCTGTTTGGGAAGCAATTCCAGGATTTCGAACCAGGAACTGTGATAGAACGACACTAAATTTCCAGGTCAGGAGTGGCTCAGAGGGAAACTTGCAGCTGGTGGTGCTCCCATGCACATGCTGCCATTATCCTTCCAGATGGCAGTGTTCGGAGTTTTGGAAGGTGCTGTTGGAAAAACCTTGGCGAGTTACTGTAGCATGTCTGTTGGATGTACACACTACTGCCACTCTGCTTTGGTGGGCAAGGAACTAAGTTCTTGAGGTAGTGAGAGGGAACATGCCAATTAAATGAGCTGCTTTGTCCTGGATAGTGTCAAGCTTCTTGAGTGTTGCTGGAGCTGTACCCATCCAGCAAAGTGGGGACTATTCCATCACACTCCTGGCTTGCGCCTTGCAGATGGCCAACAGGCTTTGAGGAGTCAAGCACTGAGTCACATGCCAAAGAATTCCCAGCATCGGACCTGCACCAGTAGCCACAACATTTACATGGTTAGTCCTGTTCCGTTTCTGTTCCATATAGCCCCCAGGATGCTGACAGTGGGAGTGCAGCAATGAGGGATTTTAGCGAGAAATCGGGTCAGAGAACCTGGGTCATTCTCCTTAAAGCAAAGTGGATTGAAGGCACATTTGATACAGCTGTAGGAGCTGGCAGTCCTGAGCCAGCTGACCAACAACTTCCACGCCACCACGCACACCAAACCCAGCAGTCACCACTCCTTGGGTGCCACCTCTTCGCTGCTGGACCCACACTCACGATCAGGAGCATCACCCCCCGCCAACACCGATAACCAATAGCTTCTGGTTCTGCTGCCAGACCGCTGCCTCACCAAGAGTCCTGCTCCAGCCACTCCCCTCCGCACCGTCCACCCTCTGTTGCCGACAGACAGAACGAAAGAAAGACAAAAAATGCTAAGTAAAGAAGTGAGGAAGCAGCTACCTGGAGCGGGCAGATTCAGGAGCCTGAACACTCCCAGCGCTGCCATTTTGAAGATGTCTGGGTGGGGGATTTTGATGTTCATCACCAAGGGTGGCTCAGCAACATCCCACATCCAGAGCATAAACATAAGCAAGTTACACCACGCTCACTTCAGTGTCCACTTGGGTCATCATAACATCTAAAAAAAGTTATGAAAATGACTAATTTGCCTATGTAGTCAAAATGAGATCTCACAGTAGCATCTCCTTCATGTGGTGAAGTTTTTTTTCACCCTTCATGGTTTGCAAGATTATTCCAGGAACTACAGACAAAACTATTCCCATAGATCCACCCCAACTTTCACAAGTCTGTTGAAGAATTGGAGAATTTGGGTCTCGCTGGTTAAACTATGGCCAGTTCTGGGTACCTCGCGTCAGGAAGGATAGGATGGAATGCATCACATATTCACTTGAACAGGCTTGAAGGGCTGAATGGCAACCTCCTACTGCTAGTTCTAGGTTTCCCTAAAACACGGAGGATGTACAGTTGTCACTTGTGACCAGATGCAATTTTTATTAATTTCTTTGCTTGTCATTGCCCACTGGTCAGAATTTCAGTACTGCTCTTTGTTCTCCATTTCAGGCAAAAAAAAAAAACTCTGAATGGAGGGGACACATTGAACCATTTATAAAAGCCCCAGTACAAAGAATGACCTTCCACTCTCTATAAAGGACAGTCCAATCCACGAACACTCACTGTTGTGAGAGATTGGCAGTCTCTACACCCCCGCAATCTACAAACATTGCGGCATTGTATCGGCCTAAAAGCTATCATTCTACATGAGCAATTAGGCCCTTTGATTCCAATGACAAAACTCAGTGGGTTGACCTGGGAAAGAATTTAAATCTGAAATTGCGGGTCACACCAGAAGGGCGCACGTGAATAGAATCATTCAACAAGACCAAGGGAACCAATGGTCAATAAACCAATCGAGCACAAGAGGGATCTGTGTCAAGCGAGATTAAAAGGATAAAGGAACAATATGCATTTATGTAGCACCTATAAAGTTGAAAACAGAGGTGTGACCAGATCTAAGTGGATACAAGGGAGTTGGATAGTAAGGGGACCATAGTGGAGTCATACAGCAATTTTAACAACTTTCCATTTGCCCAACATCTTCTCAGGCTTGTCCGGGTAGTTCACATCAGGATGCTTTTCTGTGGTAATCACACAGCATAAAGCAGGACATCGGCATGCAGCAAGATCCTTCAAGCTGCAATGAGATTATGTGACACATAACCCATTTCAGGAGCACAAATGGAGAAATAATAGGTACAGGAGTTTGCTCCAACATTAAAGCAAATCTGGGGTCATCTCCACCTCAACTCCCAGATCTGGAGTACTTTGTTATGCCTAACAAAAACCTAACAATCTCAACTTGGAAATTATACACCCATGTTAGCAGTTTTGTGCGAAATAAGAGTTCTAGATTTCCTGTGTGATAAAGTGCTTCCTGACATTGTTCCTGAAGAATTATCATCCAACACATTAGATCTATTTGAGAGGAAAGCAGCAAAACATGAGGGGGAAAGGATTAGGATGATAAGTGTGATGAACAGAATTGTTGCTGCTCATGTGGACACTGGCATAGAGCTGATGGGCCGATGGGCCAAATGGCCTGTGTAAACACAATAGCATTTGTCATTCAATCTTGCAACACAAGGAGGCATGAGGCACATTGTGACAGGACCAGCTCTTTGAAAGAGCTGACCAATTCACCATTTCACATGCTTTTTCCGCGCAAATATTTAACAGGTTCTCGTTTGACAATTTTCTGAGGTGTGGTACGAGTGACTCTAAATTAAGAATAAGCCATATTTCCAAAACTCTAGGGACAACAGTTCTATCATTAACGATAAAGCAAAGTCAACCTACAGAGTGAGTGACGACAGCCTCGGATAAGTTTACAGAATGAACATCGACGAGGATTGAATCTAGAAGAGCTGGTTACCTACCTAAGCCCTCAGACTCAAATAAGTAAGTCTCGTCAACACCAACTGCTCTACACCATGAAAGGAAATTTGCGGTATTGTCACGGGCAAAAAACGAACCGGACAGAGCATCAGTCTTACATGGAATTTTCCTCATCGTAAAGTGCTGAAAAAAATTGAAGATGAAGAGAATTACCAATACAAATACAGACCAGTTAATATGCTTTACATTGACAAAGTAGATTTCATACAAACAGACTAAACATTCAGGCCTTCCGTCACCAACGTACAGTGGCAATGTGTATCATCTACAAGATGCACTGCAGCAATTCATTAAGGGTCTTTAGACAGCACCTTCCAAACCTAACAAACAACAGATGCAGGGAAACATTACCACCCATAAGCTTCCCACAAAGCAACTTAGGGGAGGCAATGGCCTAGTAGTATTATCACTGGACAGTTAATCCAGAGACGCATCTAATGTTCTGGGGAGCTGCGTGCGAATCCTGCCATGGCAGATGGTGGAAGTTGAATTCAATAAATATCTGGAATTAAGAATCTAATGATGACCATGAATCCATTGCCGATTGTCAGGAAAAACCCATCTGGTTCACTAATGTCCTTTAGGGAAGGAAACTGCCATCTTTGCCTAGTCTGGCTGACATGTGACTCCAGACCCACAGCAGTGTGGTTGACTCAACTGCCCTCTAGGCAATTAGGGATGGGCAATAAATGCTGCCTAGCCAGCAACTCACCTTCCTAACTTGGAAATATATAGCTCCTCCTTCAGTGTTATCAGGTCAAAATCCTACAGAGCACTTACACTCCATGGATTGCTGCAGTTTACCACCACTTCAAGGGCCACTAAGGGTAGGCTATGAATGCTGACCTAGCCAACAACATCCAGAATGTTCTTAAAATGCAGTATCAGATTAGAATCCAAAGCAATTCCTCTACTTTTCCTTCAAGGTAACCTATCCAGAAATTAGTAGAAGTATCAAGTACTTTTTTTTGAAAAAAAAGTCCCAATTTTAAAATGGGGTACCTGAAGTAGGAAAGGGGGCAGAGAAAGGAAGACAGGAAAAGAGAACACAAAGATTATTTTCCTTCATTCTTTTATGAGATATAGATGTCACTGACAAGATCAGCATTTGTTGACCATCCATAACTGCCCATAAACTGAAGAGCTTGCTCAGGCCATTTCAGAGGGCACTTGAGGCTTAAGGATTGCTGAATGAAGGCATTTTGCCAAAGATTTTCGTCATGCACTCATTGGAATATTTTGCAAGAATAATCAAAAAAGGGGGAGACCAACATCTACAATAAATGAGAGGACAGTATTGATCGATTGTCAAGTGGACTCCAATTGATAGAGGCATTGCCATGGGGCATGCAGTAGTTAATGATGATTGACTCTAAACCAGCAGGTTTTGGTTAAATTTCAAACTGGGCACAGTGAATCCAACTTGTCAGGGCACTGAACCAGTAGATGACTATCATTTATTTTGTGGAGTTGAAACAGGTGCAACGTGTTCCTTCTGTCTACATATTTTTAGATGTGAAAGCAGCCAGAGAGACCAACCAACAATCTTAAAATTACAAAAAAGAATCAGAAATTGCTGGAAAAGCTCAGCAAGTCCAGCAGCATCTGTGGAGAGAAATCAGAGTTAACGTTTCTGATCCAGTGACCCTTCTTCTGGCAGAATCTTAAATAGGTGGTCTGTACAATTCTTCACACACATATCCAGCAAGTGTTGCCAGATTTGATTTATTACTGCCACATGTAGAGTTACAGTGAAAAGTATTGCTTTTCATGCTAACCAGGCAAATCATACCTTACATGAGCATCACATTTAATGTTGGATCTTGTGGGCACAGTCTGATTGGTAGTGATCAGTTCCTCACTCATTGTGAGCAGCTGAAGGGACATGCTATTTGATGGGATCTGTCAGTCTTTGGGTGTACAGCCTACAACTGGCATCATGTGACACTAATTCATATACCTGATAAGTGCAAGATGAAAATCTTGGACCGAACTGGCTTTTCCCATCAATTCTCAACCACATTCCTGTCCATCTGGAGTCGTGTGTTAGCCAGATGGGCAAAGGCAGCAAATTTCTTTCACTAAAGACCATTAATGAACTAGATGGCATTTTTTAAAAATAAAATTGCCAACAGTTTCATGGGCACCATGACCAAGATTAGCTTTTACGTTCATTAATAAATCTGGCATTAAGTATCACCAGCTGCCATGTTAGAATTTGAAACTGATGTTACTATTATGCTGCCATCTCTCACATTGAAGGGGTTAAATATAGCGCAGGTTTCATGTCTGGAACAAGCCAATGGATTTCCAACTGTGCCCCTCCTCTCTCTGTAATTAAAGGAGGGAGCGTTTCAATGCTCACAAGACTCCTTCACTGGCAGAGTATCAGCAAAGGGTTAATACGTGCATGTAGATTTAAGTCACAATCCCAACATCCTGAGCTGCCCTCTGTAAAGCTGAGCTCTCAACAACTAATCACCATCTGTCACACAATTTAATCAACTCACTAGGCCTGTTCGTGTATAATCTTCATTAAACCTCATGCACAAACATTACAACTTTCTAATTAGTCATCTTTCAAATCAAACCTCATTATATATCCAACATTGACCACTCTGTGGAAACCACTGAGCCACCAGTCTCCAGTGAAAAGCATTTAATATTCCTCCGCTTGCTAACAGACCAACGTTTCAGTCAGTGATTAACAGTAACAGCTTTTTGAGAGCCAATAAACTCAGTCTTCAGCACTCAAAAATGGGAACTCTGCAGAAGGATTAGTGCATATTTGTTATAAGATTGATAACAATCCAATTGAAAGGCAGCAAAAAAAAAAAAAAAAACAACACTAGAGTATATCAGAGAGCAATCTACATATTGGTAAGAGAACAGAGGAGACCATTCTGGCCCTTGTGTCTGTTCTGTCAATCAATCAATTAGCTCACAGCTGATCTGCAGCGCATCTCCATTTAACCACCTTTAATCCACATCTGCTGACAACAAAAATCTATTTGAACACAGGTTTGGAAACTTCAGTTGATCCTCAATATCTACAGCCTGTTGAAGTGGGAGGAGTGGTTCTGGATATTTAGAACACTTTAATATAAAGAATCCTCCTGACTAACTTGCCTTGTTTCAGACTCACGAGATAGAATAGATCAAGAAATCAGTTTATCAAAGCCTTAATCATCTAAAAGATTCCAATTAGATCACTATTAGTCTTCCGTACTCAAAAAAAAAATAAATAGAAGGCTACACTTTGCAACCTTGCTATAAATTGAACTCTCTCAGCTCCCTCCCAAAGAAAAATTTCTTTCCCAGTGGACAGGAGCATGGTGGTAGTGTCCTAATAATTCAAAAAGGACCAGGATAATACTGACGATTTGGGCTCAAATCCTGTGACCATTGATAAAATTAAATAAGACAGATAGATTGGCTCTCGATTAAGAAGGACAAAGGTTACGGAGAGAAGGCAAGAGAATGGGGTTGAGAAACACATCGGCCGTGATGGAATGGTGGAGCAGTCTCAATGGGCTGAATGGCCCATTTTTGCTCCTATATCTTTCCTGACCAAGGTTCTGTTGGACTGACACCACACTACCTCCCCTTAGTCCTCTGGAAAACCAAGTCACATTCGACTGAACTTTTGCTCAGATATTGTACCCATACTCGTAGTGGCTTATGTATCCAGATGCCAAGATCCCATTGATCCCTCCACAGTTCTCACTCTCTCATCACTAAGGGATAGCTGTAATTTGTCTTTCTTGGATCCATCTGGATGATCTCCCACTTCCAAACCTGGAAACCCATTGCCTTTCACATATACAGCAGACTGGGTTCTCCTCGAGTGCACTAACAGAGGCACACTCGAGCCATCTGTTGTGATTTGTTATTTAAAAAAAGTGCACATTAAATCTAATTAATATCAGCTCCAGTGCTTTTAAATAGGATTACACAGTCTACAGCTTAGAAACAAGCAGATGCTCAATTTGACCTGCCATCTTTCCTCACCTATATCATTAGTTAACACTCCAACACCCTCTCTTTCTTGCATATGTCTAGCCTCCACTTAATTCTCACCACTCACTGGGTATTAAATGACTGCCAAATCTAACTTCTTGATAACCACTTTGTCCTGCTCTTCTTCACTTTCCATGCTTGTTATTATTTTCATTCTATTCTTTAAAGGGATGTGGGCATCAGCAGCAAACATTTGTTGCCCTTCCTCAATCATCAATGGCTTTTCATCCATTTCAGACAGCAGACAAGAGATGGGTTTGGAGTCACATGTAGGCCAGGCCAGGTAACGGCTGCAGATTTCCTTCTGTAAAAAATTAGTTTGGGGAAGCAGAAGGAAAAATTAATGATCGTTTTCACGGTCACCATTATCAAGACCAGCTTTTGATTCCAGGGTTTATTCATTCATTTCAAATTCCACCAACTGCCATGCTGGTATTGATACTCATGTTCCATGTGATTAGCCTGGGCCTCTGGATCACCTGTCCAGTGAGATTACTCTAGGCCATCTTCTTTCCCTTTAGTCATCATAATATTTATTCATTGATTCTAAAAAAATCTGTTGGGAAAATTTTACAAGCTTTGACTTGTATAAACATGTTCAAAATGTTCTTGGAATATCAGACATGCTCAATAATAAAACAGAAGAAATAAGATTTGTGCGCACAGCCTCTGGTTTATAAAGTTCAATTAATTCTCAGAACATGTGTCACTGGCAAGGCTGCCCTTCATTGCCCACTCCAACTGTCCTGGAGAAGCCCTATTGAAGCACTGCAACAGCAACATTGAAGTAGGAGTAGGCCATTCAGCCCCTCTAGATCATGGTTGATCATCTACCCAACACCACATCCCCATGCTACCCCCATATCCCTTTATATCATCAGTAACTAGATATTTCTCAATCTGAATTGAGCATGCAAATTGATTGAGCTTCCACAGTCACAGGGTAGAGAATCCTAAAGAATCACCATCCTTTGAGTGAAGAGAGTTCGCCTCATCTGGGTGACTAGAGACCTCATGACCTGCCCCTTATCCTGAAATTGTGCACCTGGTTCCAAACACCACAGCCCCCAGGGGAAAACAGTCTTCTCACATTTACCCTGTTGAGCTCTAAGAATTTTGCATGCTTTACTGAGACCACATCTCATTCTTTTAAAATTCTATGCAAATACAAAGTAAATCAATCTTTCAATGCAATTTCAGATGCCACCTAAGAGTCAGCCATGTGGTATTGGATTTGGAGTCACTCGCTGGAAAACAGGTGCTCCTCCTTAAAAAGCACTTTAGAAAATCAGTTGCGTTTTGATCGGAATCAGACAACTTTCTGGCTTGGATCACTAAGTTAAGGGAAACCCTACACTGGTGATAACGTGCCCAACTAGATTGCATGTGGGAGACCGGCAGTGGGTTGGACATGTGACAACAGTTTGTATTCATATAGCACATATTAGCATAGTAAATAAGGTTCTTGGCAACAAATTATCCAAAGTTTGATAGTGAGCCACACAAGTGATTAAAAGTGCAGTCTATTAGGTAGAATCCAAACAATGTTTTAGATGAGGAAAGCGGGAGACGGCTTTAAGAAGGGTATTCCGATTTTGGGGCAACTGATGGCACAGACTACACTGTATTGATTAATACCAAAATATAAGTGTGCCATTTCATGGCTTTTTTAAAAGCAAGCTGTTCAGACTTGTTGTAACACACCTGTGGCTGGAGCCCAGGCCTTCTGGCCCAGAGATAGGGACACTACCAATGTTCCCTCTCAGCTGCTTGGCTGTACACGTAGCTGTTCCAGTGTCCTGTGCATAGCAATCGGTGTGCAGGCATGAGTTGTAGTATTGACTTCACACCCCAGAGGATGCTGCCAGGCACAGACCTCAGATCCATGAGGAAAATAAAATTAGGGGGAAAAACACTGCTACCAACACAGCACAAGAACACACACTAAGACCTGCTCAGTACAGACTATATCATTTCTTTGATCCATAGATCCCTGTTATGAGCACAGTTCCTTTCTGCTGTGCCACACGCTGTTTCATAAAGCAATTCATTGCTTCACGTAAGCTTCAAGGCTTGACTATGCAAATTATGGCAAAATGAACTGCGATTCCCTGATCATACCGAGCAGGAACCCTGCCACATATCAATAACACCAATTTCATCCTGGCTCAGGCTTAGTAACTTATCGGACTTTGTAGCTATAACAAAGGTAGTTTATGAACTTGTTAACATGCAATGATATACCCGACACTCCCTTTTACATTATCTCCATCGGGAATTGCATTCCAGTTACTCAAGATTAGAAGAACACCACTCAGACTCACCTGTTGATACTCTGGACTCCCACATTCCTTTACTTTCTGTTGAAGAATAGCGATCAGCTTACAAAGCACAACTCCATTATCCAACTCAGTCATGAAGTTCTCTGCTCGGACCTCCTTCCCTAGAATA